AGACCGGTGCGGGACGCTTGACGTTCACTGACTGCTGTGGCGCTCCTCCACTCGTTGAGCCCGGCACGACGACCACCTCGTTGTCTTGTTGCGCGTCTTGTGTTGAAGAACGCGGTGCGAGGGTACTCGTACCGGGAGAACCACCCGCATCGGGAGCAGATGCGGCCGAACCACCGCTCGCGTCACTCATGCTCAGCTGCCACTATCTCCCCTGCGGGCCACTACCTCAGTACCCCAGTATCTGAGTACGCGAGCGCGCGAGTATCGGAGCCTGGAGCCCACCACCACTCTGTGCGGCGAGACTGTCTACTTTCTGCTGAATAGTGACGTCACCAACACACCCTTTGGTGGAAGGTAGTACGTACTCTGACGTTGAGTAGTACGTACTCTGAGTTGAGTATGGCGGGCTGTACTATGGCCTGAGTAGAGTATGGGCAGCCATACTAAACGCAACAGTATGTTTAGTAGAGTATGAGAAGCTATACTAAAGTGATGGTACAGTACAGTATAGGAAGCCATACTAAACTCAAAGAGTATGTTTAGTAGAGTATGAAAAGCCGTACTAAACCGCAAGAGTACGTTGAGTAGAGTATGAAGAGCCGTACTAAAAAGTGAGTATGAGTAGAGTATTAAAAGCCACACTGTGCTCAAAAAGATGTTTAGTAGAGTATTGAAGAGCCGTACTTACAAAAGTTTTAGTAGAGTATGAATAGCTGTACTAAACCGCCACAGTATGCTTAGTAGAGTATAAAAACCTGTACTCAAGTGTGACTGCTTCAGCAGCGTAATCTTCAAGCACGGTGGGGGGAGAAAAAGGGGCGATTCAACTCCCTTGCCGGCCAACGAATAATAAACTACAGAGTGGCGGTTACGGTTTAAGAGAGGTTTTGCTCTCTTAAATCGGTATGTCTGTTAAACCGTTTTAGCTTCGCTTTAAGAGAGTGTTCCTTTAAATCATATCTCACTTTAAGAGAATCTAACCTTAAACCGTAGCCAACTCGAAAGGTCGTGGAACACTGACACCCGGACGCCGACTCCAGCAGTATGTGCCCTCAGAGCTCATGAAGAGCCTATCATTTACGTACATCACGCGACCCAGCTAGCGTCAGCACCTTAGGCTAGCTCCACGCACAGCTTTGTCTGTTGGTCGGCGAGCGATATGAACCCAAGTCACGGTACGCTCTTGGAACCTGTGCTGGGAGATTGGACTAAGTATCATGTTGTCGTGTGGTACACTTAGTGCGCGTGGAAAAACAATATAGAAGTACTTGCTGCTTGTTGTGTTGTGGTGCACACTGTACTCGCATCTCAAATCGAACTACAACGCGAGCCCATGAATGCATCAGTATCCAAGGAAAAATCTACCGACGCACGTACTGAACGAAACACTCGTACCCCACCCATCCCCTTCACGCATGAAAACACACCACCCACAGCCTTCGTGCCAAATACGAGCCATGGAACGAAACACGCTTTACATCACGTACAGTAGTACTGTATGAAAATATCGCACGCGCTACAAAGCAATTTTGGCACAGAAAATCAAAGCACCCCTCAAAGCCTGTCAGCCTCAGCACTACGTCTGCTGCAACCGTTAAAAGTAGTCTTGGATACACGTCTGCTTGGTTGCCCCCGCCCCGTGGGCACTCATCCAAGCTAGCTTAGCCTTACGGACGTGGTAAGACGCCTCTGGCATGTCGCACTTCTCGGCAATGTCCTCGAGTTCACAAGGTGTTGTGCTTTGTTAGCGTACGGCGGCGGAGGCGAGGCCGCTGCCGCTAACGACTGCTGTCCCGCTTCGCCTTGCTCCACCAGATCGACGTCGTCGTCCGAGTCCATCTGCACCAACTGCTCATTTCAGAGGTCTTCGACCATGTCTGCTACCATCGCTTCGGATACCTCATCGTCCTCCTCTATCTACCGCCTGCATCGTAGCCGCACTTGGTTTCGCTCCCGGAGCCAGCTGTAAGCCAGCGAGGGCCTCTCTGACGTCCTCATCGACAGGTCCATGCTTCGTGCCAACGCTCATGGGCGAAACCAAGCCCTCCAGCTCGTCGATTCCGCTGTCGTTGCCGGTGACCGTGGTGCGGCCAACCTGCGCGTCGATGTCCGCGTGCGTGCTGCGGAGAGAATGTCTGCCTTTTTTCAGCACCTGCGACCCGGGCGGGAAAAAAAAACACGCGTCATGTGCAGCGAAAGAGTGGGCCACACGTGTTATTTTTGTATAGTACGAGGAGCGGTTTATTTGATGATGAGCTTACGACGGCTCCAAGGTAATGTCTCCCACTAGCAACTTGAAGGATAAAAAAAAAAAGTATGGAAGCGAGAAGAACTGAACACAACTCAAGGTATTTACGCACCTCCTGATGGTCTCCGTAGAAACACGCCCCCATGCGTCGTGGCAGAGCTCAGCGGCGTCCAGCAGGTGAGGCACGTGTCCCTCCGCCAGCCCTTGGAGGCTGCTGACCACCTTGCGTCTCTTCGCTTCCGCTCGGAGCTGGGCTGCCTCCTTCATCGTGTCGACGCGGATGCGGAGCAGCAAGGTCCTGAAGATCTTCTTCAGAGCTGCGACGATCCCGGCGTCGCAGGGCTGGTGCTTCGCGGTGCAGTTCGGCGGCAGCTCCAGGATCGTCACCTGCCCACGGGGGTCGACCAGGTTCGCGTGGCTGCTGTGGTTGTTAGGCTAATCCCCCGTAGGCGATTGCCTCGTATATTTGTGGCCGAGTTTGGCTATCATACTGAAAAAAGACTACAAGAAATGTTAGTGTATCTAATTCGCGAAAAAAATCGCCTACGGGGGAAAGGCCTAGTGGTTGTCCATGATGAGGAGCACGGGCTTGCTGGTGACGGAACGCACCCACGGAAGAAGCACCTCCTTCCACCACTCGCCGAAGACACGCGCGTCAGACCACGCGTTGGACTGGCTGAAGTACTTGAGGGGCGACGTCCTCAGCCTGAAGCACCGGGGGTTCTTGGCGTGCCCGATGATAGACAGCGGCAACTTCCGGCCGCTGGCATCGGCCGCCACGTACAGCGTGATGCGCTCCTTGAAGCTCATGCCCTTCACTCCCCGTACCGTCGACTTGTCCTCGCCTGGTGTGGTGTAGCTGCGGCGGGGCGACATCCTGTACTGGAGCGCAGTCTCGTCGCAGTTGATGATGTTCTCCGGGTCGTACTTGGCAATCACCTCCCGGAGCTTTCGGAGTTCGTCGGCGATGGCTTCATCGTCGACGCTCCCTGCCTGACCGTGCTGGCTCTTCGAGCGGAGGTTGTGGCGGCTGATGAAATGTTTCGCCCACCCCTCGGAAGCGTTGAAGGCGTCGAGTCGTCGGCGTTCTTCAGCTGTTGATGCCTTCGCCGCGAGAGATGTTTTCGCTTTGCGCCCGAAGGTCTGAATGGAGAAACGATCCACCGGCAGACCGTGTGTCCGGGCCTCCGTGGGTAGGTCCATCACCATCTTTTACACCTGCCCATACGTACAAAGCAACGGCAAGATGGGTAAAAGCATCAAAGTTTGACGCTTGATACATGATGCTTACACAAGTGGCAGCGACAAGCAAAGTTTCTGAAACAACGGTGGGAGAACAGTGGCAAAGGTAGCAGTCGGAACACGTGCTGCTGGACATGCAGTGTTCGCCACACACTAGAAAAACATGCGATGGACAAGTGCGCCGTTCTTGCCCTTCACAGGACGAAATGTTGTACATATCTCGTGAAACGAAAATAATGGAAATGAACAACATATTTTCTGTTGTACGCTGCAACACGTACACGTCCGCGGCATCGAAACCAGAGGTCACATGTGTAATCTAGACTAGTACGCTAATTTAAGTTCACGCAATAAATATGTACGAACCTACAATTCGCCATCTCTCTCAAATAAAAACGTGCGCACACACATGCGCGCTCGCGCGAAACAAAAATGTACAAAAACTACTGCTGTACACACATTAGAAGCAATCTTGGCACACACAAAGAACATTGTGTCACAGGTGAGGTGCGTTCACGCGCAATACACAGCAGTACATTCATGAAGTTTTCTTCACGTCTTCGAACCAAAAAAAAAAGCAAGAAGAAAAAAAAACACACACACACACGCACAGCGGACGTGAAAAAAAAAAAAGATTCACTGAACGTACCTTCGGAAAATGTCCTCCCTTGCTAGACTTCGAGTTCGCCTTGCCGCCCGCTGCTGCGTCCCGAATCTTCTTCTCGTCACTCTTCCAGTTGTAAGGGGTGCTCTCGCCTATCTCCAACTTAGTAGCAGCTGCAGGGACTTTCATCGTCTTCAGAAGTTCGAGGGCTTTCGCCTTGTCCGCGGTCGACACCCGCTTGCGTTTGGCTGCGCCGCCGGGCTTCTTCGCGACATGTTTGCCAAATTTCGCGCCACCACTTGCGCCCGCGGAGCCCTTGCCTTTGGCCCTCGAAGAGCCGTTCTTCTCTGGCTGCGCCCCAGCAGTCCCCGCGCCTGAAGTCTCGCGCTCGCGGGAGGCCGCACAGGTGTGGCAGATGCGGTGCACCTCAGTGGTGCCGAGCGGGTCCACCACACCACATGGAGGTACTGCCCGCAGACGCCTCTGCATTTGTGTATTGTGAAATGAGGCGGGCCTGGCGTGTCTTCGGGCATAGTGCAGCGGTCGCCCGCTGCGCAGGGCATGGTGTCTGCAGCTGTGTCTGTGTTGAGAGCTGTGAGATGTGTGTGATGGCTACGTGACGTGGCCTCCATCAGCTCGATTTAAGAGAAAATCTCAGAAATATGCCAAATTTCTCTTCAATCGATTTTGGCCTTGCCAAGCGATTTTCCTCTCTTTAACCCGTACCTTCTCTTAAAAATTCCTCCTTAAATCGTAGCCGCTACTGTAACTCAAGTTTCTCGCCAACGGGTGCTGACACTGGATACACGGGTACCAAGTCTACTGGAATACAGTAGTGGTCTACAGCAAGCGTAGATCCAGCGAACTGTCCGAAACACCCTTTTTTTTTGAGGGGGGGGGAACATTAGTGGATGGCATGACAGCAGTGGGTACATAAAGCGAGTTCAACGAATCAAAGTCCCATTCTGCTGGCTGGACAAGATGGCCAGGGCCCATGCACAGCATGATCATCAACTTCAACAATTGTGTAACGTCTTCAGGCCCAACACGAAGGTGGGGCACAAGGCCACAACAGGTGGGCATTTTTTATATTGCTGGGTTTCCCCGTTGACTCAAAAAACACCAGTTCAGCGATTTTCACCAGTCCGGCCCAAAAAAACACCAGTTCGGCTATTGCGCCGCACTGAACAGGTAAAAATGAGCTGGTGTTTTTTTTTTCAGAGCTGGTAGAAAAGCCCATCTGTATTTCACTTGTTTTTCTTTTGCGTGTTCGGGAGGCGAAGCGGTACATAGCGGGATCGAGTCGTTCCTACAGCAGTTGCGCGCAACACCCAGTGGCGAGGCAGCTGGGAGTCTTGTGTATCAGTGGGTGTGGACGTGTCCTTCGGTGGGTTCCGCTGGGAGAGTGATTTCTTCTGGAGAAGTGGTGTTTTTTGCACGTTTGAAGTCGTCACGTCCTCTTGATTGAACCGAAATCAAAGCGCGTGCAGCGAGGAGTGCCTTGGTCGTGAGTACAGAGTACTCGTGCTCGCGGCGGCGCAGGAACCCTGCGCCGCGCCGCGCACGCGTCTAGAGTTGCTGATTTCGCTTTCGCGGGCACGCCAAGTGTGGTGGTCAGGGAGTTCTTTCTGGTTGCATGGGCGACAACAGGGACGGCGTGTTAGACTTGACTCACCTGAGCACGGATAACAACTCGACTCTCTTGTACGAGACGGACTCGGACCCGGACATGTTCAGTGTCCACACCACTCCGGGGAAGCCGAGGGTGCGTCAGCCGCAGCGTTCGTCGCCTCGAATCCGCGACCGCCGGGGTACGAAGGTGGACGATGCGAGCTTATCGCCTACCTCGTCACCTGCGAGTGGTCTCAACTCCCCGCAGACCGGGGGGGTCGCGTCATCAGCTAGCCGCAGGACGTCCCCGCGCACCCCGAAGCGGACGAGTGCACCCGAGGACGAGGGATACGAGACGAAGAACGTTAAGCCTGTTCCCCAGCGTTTCAGCCGTGCTGCCGGCGGGAAGGACGGCGGCGGCGGCGACAGTGATGAGGCGGAGGGAGAGTCCTCGCCGGGCACCGGGGGTAGTAGTGAGGGCNCGTTTCAGCCGTGCTGCCGGCGGGAAGGACGGCGGCAGCAGCGGTTCTTTCGGGTCACCGCTTCTCGTCAGCTCAAGCCAAGGCAGCGGCGACAGTGATGAGGCGGAGGGAGAGTCCTCGCCGGACACCGGGGGTAGTAGTGAGGGCGGAGGCGGCAAGGGGAAGGAGCCGGAGAGGAGAAAGCCTGGGCCTGAGGAGGAAAAATCTGGCAAAGGTGTGTGCTCGGAGGATGTAGTTGGTGACTATGATTGTGCGCCCTTCTGAGAGGACTTGTGAGAGGACTGAAAACATGTTCACATGTATTTCTGTTTTCATGCGCCCTCTGTGAAAAAGGGTGTAAGTTTTGGATNGCCTGGGCCTGAGGAGGAAAAATCTGGCAAAGGTGTGTGCTCGGAGGATGTAGTTGGTGACTATGATTGTGCGCCCTTCTGAGAGGACTTGTGAGAGGACTGAAAACATGTTCACATGTATTTCTGTTTTCATGCGCCCTCTGTGAAAAAGGGTGTAAGTTTTGGATCCTGTTCGTTATTAGGCACCTGCACATCGTGATGTTCCCTCAACCATGTACCCTTGTGGCATACGTCGTGTCCGTTTCCGAATAAGTTTGCAGTAGGCGTGCTTGACTGACTGTTTGCTTCGCGGCGGCAATGGTTGAGATATGCATGCAGCAGAAAAAAAATGCAGAGAACAACCTGAAAACTTCAATTAATTGTTTGCAAACTTTAGCGTCGACTCGAATGCAGGATGTAGGATCCGCAATGCCGTTTTTTGTACAAGACGAATTACAGAGCAGTGCTGTTCTTCGGTGGGGCGCCTCCCGTGAAATGAGTGGCGACCCAACCCTTTCAAGTCGTGGCTAATGTACGACGTCCATCACCCTAACTCTTGTACCCCAACTCTCGTTTGCCTTGCATTCCTGATCAGAGGCAGGCCCGCGGTGGTGGACTCAGCGAGGAGAGAGGGAGCTTCTGTGGCGGCTCATACCGAAGCACTTAGCGTCCAAGCACTCGGCCAAGAAAGCTAAGGATGAGGAGTAGTGGAAATGCGCACAGGCCCTCTCGAAGAAGGTCGAGATGACAATACGGGTCAAGGTAGTGCAAAAGGGCGGCAACGTGGAACTCGTCACGAAGAAGGTCGCAGTGGACATGGGGGGGAAGATGGAGGTGGGTGGACGCTGCGGATATTATTCTTGTATATCGGATTGCGGTTCGATCTTGAGCTCCATCAAGCTTAACTCACCCAACTTAGGACTTGCTTAGGATCACGTATGCGGCGAGTAGGATAGTTCTTTAGCATCCGAGACAATGACAAGTTGACCCTTTTTTTGTTGACGGTACCTATAAAGCCAAATAAAGCGTTGTGGGGGACGGGGGGCGGGGGCAGAAGGGCTATTAAGCAGAGGGTGGGCTGTAAAGAAGAANAGCTAAGGATGAGGAGTAGTGGAAATGCGCACAGGCCCTCTCGAAGAAGGTCGAGATGACAATACGGGTCAAGGTAGTGCAAAAGGGCGGCAACGTGGAACTCGTCACGAAGAAGGTCGCAGTGGACATGGGGGGGAAGATGGAGGTGGGTGGACGCTGCGGATATTATTCTTGTATATCGGATTGCGGTTCGATCTTGAGCTCCATCAAGCTTAACTCACCCAACTTAGGACTTGCTTAGGATCACGTATGCGGCGAGTAGGATAGTTCTTTAGCATCCGAGACAATGACAAGTTGACCCTTTTTTTGTTGACGGTACCTATAAAGCCAAATAAAGCGTTGTGGGGGACGGGGGGCGGGGGCAGAAGGGCTATTAAGCAGAGGGTGGGCTGTAAAGAAGAAGGCCTCCGCGCCAGGAACGAATGCAGCATGTATGAAAACGGTCGCGAAACAACCCATAACCTAACCACTTTGAAATGTAGCTGTGTGTGCACCTTTTGACGTCTAGTCGCACAAACGGCGCCCATTTCACAAGGCCGTCTAACGACACTACTGACTGTTGTTCCTACATATCGCCGAAGTATTCGCACGAAAACGCTGGGTTATTAGAGATAAGAGCTCCCCCACCCCGTGTATCTCAGACAGTGTTCGGATAGCCGTGGCGGACATGATATAGTAACGATAGCATTGTCGTTCGAGAGACTCGCTCCCCTTGATTTTTCCCGTTCGCACCGATGTCACAGGGACTGTCGCGGGATGTCATCGTGGAAAAGCTGAGGACCATCTTCAGCGCTCCCCGGACGGCATGGAAGAAGAGGCAGGAGAAGAAGAAGAGTATCACCGGCGAGGGTGACGATGGCGGTGACGAGGGAACGGAGGTGAGGTTGCAATGCACGACAGGAGACACCCATGATTCGTTTTGCGGTGGAGGCTCCATGTCCGACACGTGCGTGCTTCCTCCAGTGAGATTAGAATCTCCATCCCACCCGTCCCGGGGAACCTCAGGCTGTCACATTATTGTTCGCCTTTGAATATGGTTATTGAGTTTGCCTTCCAAGGAGATTCCAGGAACCGTCCAGTATTTGACTGCCGCGACCAAATCAGGCCCCCGCCTTATCGCAAAGGGTTAGTGCGCATTCATCCCCCCCCCCTCTTCACCCCCCCCGGTGTTTGCTATCGGGGTTGGGTTTTCGTCGCTTGGCAACGACGTTGTAAAGCAAGCCAGTTCACTTCGTTAACTCGGCAACCAGGTTACCGTTTTTTTTTTTACCTCCGTTTTTTTTTTTTTTTGCGGTAACCTTATTGGTGGTCGAGTAGATCATGTTGTGCGGGGTGGAGAACCCTCACTCCGCGCAAG